TTTCGTATGTATTCAAAAATTATTTACAAAACATTAATAATGATACATCACATGAGCGTTGAGAATGTTACATTAAATGGATAACAATTGGTCAAAAAACCCTTAATTATTTAATTCTAGTCATTTTAAATTACGAAAGATTTTGATGACAATAGTTGTGTAGGGATGGCAATGGGTCGGGTTGGGTTCAGATAGTGCATATCCGTTACCCTACGCAAAGTAGTTCGGGTTTTACCCATACCCATACCCACATAAGAAACGGGTAGAAAATCAAAACCATGCCCATACCCGTTCGGGTTTCGAGTATCCACAGTTATCCATGGGTAATAATTTTTCTTCATAACTCCAACCAATATGTTAACATTCTCGCATATTCTCACATTATGTAAGAGGAAAAATTCAACAATAATTCTCGCATATACCCGTTCGGGTTTCGAGTATCCACGGTTTGTCCCCCGTTGGTGGCCTCATCTTCAAGGTGAAGCCATTCTCTTCTTTCCCTCTCCGACCTCCCTTGGTGTCTGAGTGGCTTGGTGAGCTGTCGGATGGTGGTGGGTTGGGTCTTCTCCAGTGGTCGCGGTTGGGATTCGGTGTTTTCATGGAGGTTTGTTGCTACCTTGGGAGCTTCTGCTCTTCTTCGAACCTGATCTCTCTGCCTCGGCCTCCTCTGCCTCTTCAGCTTGGAGCAATCTGGTTATATCCTCTTCCACCGCCATGCAGTTAGGGATGGCAATGGGGCGGGTTGGGGCGGGTTTTGTCAAACCCAAACCCAAATCATGGGTTTATCCGTCAATAAAACCCGGGGTAAAACCCACTGGGTTTGAAAAACTCAAACCCAACCCAACCCGCTGGGTACCCGTGGGTTCATGGGTACCCGTGGGTTTTTGTGGTAAAAAATTCATAATAACAAGTTTCTTTCAAAACAAAAGTTTAACATCAATTTTCTCATACAAATTATTTATACAAAAAACACCAATCTAGAGCATACAAGCAAACCGCAAATGATCAATACAAATTGTTCAAAATTAAAGATAAACATCTATAAACAATATGATTAATTGAAAGATTCTTCCTCGTCAACTAAGTTTCTTCACTCTCCACTTCATAATATCAACTTCATTCTAAACAATTAGAAAGAACAAATTATACATGTCTCCACAAACATAAATAATATTAGTTGTTTAAGAAAGATATATTATTTAGAATATTAAATATACCGGGAAAGTAATTATATGTGTGTGGGCGGGTACCCATGGGGCGGGTTTACCTAAACCCAAACCCAACCCGACCCGGTGAATAGTGTAGCGGGTTTAAACACGAACCCGGCCCAAAACCCGTCAACACGGGTTTTACCCGCGTTGACCGGGTTGGGTCGGGTGGGTACCCGTGGGTTCGGGTTTTGTTGCCATCCCTACATGCAGTCTAGTTTCTAGATTCACTGTGATGGATGCCATTGAGTTTTCCCCAGGAGGCGGCACATGAGGTGATGATGTTCAACTACCATGGATTTCGATATGATCGGACAAGCTGATTGTGGTTTTGTTGCATTTTAATTGGTTGTTTGCAAGAGAGTTTCTTGATAATATGTTTTCGGTCAAGGGTTTTGCTCTTTCCGGGTGGTTGCTTGCAGACTGTGTTGTGTTCTTTGTTGCTGCATTTTGTCTTACACAACTTTGTTTGTAACCGAATGCCTTTGGGCTTCCTCTTGTTGGAACCAGATTGTCGCTTCGTTCTCTTCTTTGTAACTGATCAATTTGAAGTGCAATAAAATCCCCCTTTGTCAAAAAAGACAACCACTAAGTCCAAAAGACCACTCCAAGACACCAGGAAAAGCTCAGGACACAAGAAAGCAAAGAATGATCAACCCAGACAAGGAGCTTTATTTTGTTGAGGCAGAACACAAGATCCAAATGTTATAAATATAATGAATTATAGGTATAATATGCCTTTCTACTATGACGTTTTATCAAACATGTCCCTCTACTATTTTTTACATCAAACATGCACCTCTACTTTGTAAAAATGATCAAACATGCCCTTTTGTTAAAATTTTCATCCAAAAACCGTTAACCAAGACCGAATTTTAGTTTGCGCGACACAAATGACTAAAATATCCCTAATAAATTCACTTTAGAATTTTTTTAGTTCTTTTGTATAATCAAACCATTTAAATAATTTCACTTTGAAAAGACCCAGGGAAATAAAACAGGGGACAAAACTGACATTTTCCCTCCCATTTGCCGATGTCGGGTTGTCTAAATCTCAATTCAACCATGATTTTTTCAATGGAAATTTTAACAAAAGGACATGTTTGATAATTTTTTCAAAGTACAGGGGGCATATTTGATGTAAAAAATAGTAGAAGGCCATGTTTGATAAAAGGTCATAGTAGAGGGGCATATTATACCTATAATCCAAATATAATTATATTAGGGAATTGGGTTTTAGGGTTTAAGAGTTGGGGCAGCCAATTGGGTTGAGGATTATAATGGTTAATTATTAGGATTTTACGGATCTATTTCCTATAGATATGTACTTTGGATTTTACGGGAAATTAATCAGAAAAGTCTTATCAAAGTATCTTTCTCAAAATCCTAAATCCTTATCTCTCAATACGTCACCTACCCCTAACGGCCGAAAGCCATTCTTCTCGATCCCCAATTTCTTCTAAATCGCTAAATCTCCAATTCTGTTCATCCCAAATTCCAATTCTCAATCCTATTCGAAACCCTAAAGAACCGTAGTTCTAACACCAAAACACCCTTTGCATCCTCATTCATTGTACTAGTACAAACCAAAGTTTCAGCTCGTCCAATACAAGTATGACCATGGATTTGAAAAATCAAGGTTTTGGTATAACTTGTGTTTTGATAAACCATGGATATATGAGGATTTTGGATTCATTATGAATTTGAAAAAGACCATTGTTTGTTTCATGAATTTCATTATGGATTTTGTTAATTAAATTTGTATGTATGAAGTGAACTTTACTTTTATTTCCCTCAATGATATAAGAAGATAAAGAAAATATGAGGGGTAGGTTGGTAAAAAATGATGAATTTCAAAATCCATGATCAATTCCCACCTAAAGATGTTGAATTTTCAAGTTCGTGGGACCCGCTGATTTGGACCATCAAAGTCCATGAATCCCACGAATTTGGACAAAGTTTATCATGAACCCAAATCCATCACCAAATCCATCGAGCAAATAATCCCTAAATGTCGCCTCTTGGGAGTTGTTTCCCTTTCTACCGAAAGAAACAACCATAATTCAATCTTCTTCAGTAAGCTTTTAAAAAAATGCAACTCTGTCAAATCACTTGCTCAATGATTACTTGTTCATTTGATGTCTTAGCACTTTTCTTTACACTAATAACGTTATAAAAGGTGGTAGGTTAGTGGTAGTGATTGTTTTGAGTTTTTTTAGTTGTGGCTTCCTGAAATCATAAGTACTGCAAGAAAGGAAATTGTGGAGTGGAGTTGTTTTGATCAAAGACGTAGAAAGTGAAGGATTCTTTATAGTAGTGGTTCTGTAATAATAGTATAGTGATTTCATAGCAGCGATTTATAGGTGTGATAGTAGTAGCAATGATTCCAGTGGCGGATCCAGGGGGTGGCCACCCCAGGCTCCGGCCCAGCCCTCTTCTGGATCCATAGTTAGTATAGGCCTTATAAATTTTTCGATTTTAGATATTCGGGTCGTTGTTATTTTAAAATAAGATTGGGTATAATTAGAAAAATAATTCAGATGAACATATTCAAAATCACTACTCTAAATTTAGCTTATAAATTCTAACCCCAAAGGTTATTCGTCTAAAAAAACAATGAAACCTAAAAATTCAAAAAGTTTAAAACGTAAAAGACTAAAACATATATGAGGTTTGTTACCTTGGAAAATTTACTAGAGCAGCTAGTGGATATAGGGATGGAAACACAATGCAAATTGATTAGTAGATTGATTTGTCTAGTGTTGATGCTGCTCGTTTCAACAGCTAATACGAATAGAACCTTTTCAACAACGAAACATGTGAAAATTGATTTGCCCAACAAAATGAGCGATGGATTTCTAGTAGATTGCTCAAGTATTTTATTTGAAAGAGTGTATACTATTGGTATGGATGTGGACTCCATTATTAATGCATTCGCTAAATTAAAATATCGTCGTGTACAATTTACATTGTAAAAAAATTACAATCATTATATTTTTTAACTATTCTAATTTTCTAATAAAATGCGGCCCAGTGCACTTCTGTGTTCTGGATCCGCCGCTGAATGATTCTATGGTAGTGATTTTATGGATCCTACAATTACGTGTATGATTGTAATAGAGTTTCTTATTATGTATTAGTAGTGATTCTTGTTATTGACAATAATATGATGGATAGTAATGTTGATTCTACTAAATAATTATCAAAATCACTACTAATGACTCATAAATTAATACTACACGCATCAAACTACTACTACGCACCTAAAACAAAAGAGTAATGTTTTAGCAGCATGAATAATAATAATTTTAAGTAGTACTTGAAGAGGTAGTAGTGTTTTCAAGGTAGATTTTTACGTAGAGATCGAGAGTTGTGATGGAGAGGGGAGAGAGAGACGTGATAGAACTATGGAAGGGAGGAGAGTTAGGAAAATTTGTAACCGCATTTCATTAAAATCCCAAAATATTCGCCCACATAAATTAATAAAATTAAAATTTTCTCTCATATTACTAATCTATCCTTTATTTATTTGTAGCCATTAGATCTTAAATAAAATTAAATGGTTTAGATGCCAATTAGTATGGTGCTAACCCCCTATAATGTTAGAACCCTATCTGTTCCCTAGATGATTCAGTAAGCTTTTAAAGAAGTGCACAACTCCTAACTCCGTCAAATCACTTGCTCATGACTACTTGATTAACCGACAAAATAATCGATAATATAATTATGATCTACCGATTAATATAAACCATATTGTCAAGTATAAATTGGTTAATGGTTACCCGATAACCGACTAAACGGTACGATTATAACCGAACCAACTAACCACCCTACCAATAATGCATGTGTTTCTTTGGTTTTGGGTAAATTACTCATGGTGGATAATTGTTTTCCATTACTCGATGGATCGAAGATCAGAATGAGTTTAAGATACATGATTAGGCTCAACCCAGAGATTTGGGTAAAGCAATCGTCCATAATGAAGAAGCAGAATCTTTTGGAGCTAGTTTTTTTTTTTTGGGTTAGTATTTAAACTAGCGTGGCCCCGGTCAGCTGACCGGAGGAAGGTGAGGTATGAAATTTGATAATGTAATGGGGTGTATAGCTTATTGTTGTATAGTTTTTTTTGGAAACACGTGATAACAATAGTGAATTTTAGCAGGAAAGAGACATGAATGATGCAACGAATCAAAAATCGGCCTAATGAACCAAAATCAAGTACATGTTACCTTGTGAAACAATATTGTTTCTGGTAATATGATGAGGTGGAGTAAGTTTTAAAGAAACCGAATTCCAGAAAATCGAATAAAAAATCGCCTATCCCGTCGGTTTTCGGGAAATGAGCATCTCACAATCGTTGCTAGCTTTTACTCGGCCCGTTGGCCGATTAATTTGCTTTATAAAACTTTCATCTTGTCGTCATTGTACTTTCTGGTTTTTGTTAGACCATGATAAAATATAAGGAAATCAAGAACGAACAACATGATTTGGGATAGGAACCACTGTTGTCGTATCCCTAGAAAATGGTAGTAAACACGGACTCACCTGCCAAACTGGTTTGGATTGAGATTTTTATTGGGTATCAGGGAACCATGTAATTATAAATTAGACTTGATCAAAATGGGCCAAAACTTGCAATTCAGCCTGTTTGACCGACTCATGCCAAATTCTAATTATTCTTTACTTTTAAACTTTCTATTTGAAAATAAAAAATAGCGAAAGAAAAGAGATGACTGCAATTCGCCATTTGCACATCACTTATTTGGGAATAAAACCATAGAAATTCAAAAGGAACTCAAAATGGTTAGGATCATTTTAATTTTTAAAATAAATAAATAGATCTTTCTGTTTAGTTTTTTACTAACAAATACCAAACTATTCCCTATAAAATACACTATAATTTGATCATTATGATATCAAATAATTATATTATATATATTTGAAATGATTAAAATTAGACTAATTGGGTTGGTCGAGGTTCAACCATTGAATAACTTAAAAATACATTATATTTTATCCACTAAGATATAAAATAATAGCATAATATATATTATGACAGAGAAAATAGCTTGTTTTAGAATGTCAAACCAATGATGTTCATTTGTTTTACTTGATGGCCAAATCACGTGTAGGTCAGGCCTATTCAACTCTTTTATTTTATGGTTAGCGGTTAGCCCATTAAATACGATGCATTAGTTTATTGTTAAATTTTTTATTTTTAGCAATAAAAAGAAGTATTGTTTTTGCCTTTTGATATATATCTTATCACCATGGAGAAATAAAAGGGCTTAAAGAAAAAAAAATTTGACAATCCTGGACCCGTTTAAATCCGCATGTGTACGGTAAGTTGGCACGTTCCACAGAGGAAAGAGAAAAAAATTGACACTCTCTATTCTACCATTCCTACAAACGCTCTGGAGCAGGGAATTTGAAATGGGGGAATGGTTTTTTTCTCCCTGTTATTATATGTTTTTAATTTAAAAAGATACAACGAATTTACTTAATGTGATTGGTTATGATCCTTACTTTTCTTTAAAATAATCATTGTTCAAATCCCAATACATGTCTTTCTCTTCGGCGTATTATATTATTATATTATGTGTAGATTACATATAAGGTTCGAGGTTTGCTCAACTCGGATTATTTCTGAGTACAACGTTGTCCAGGATTAATCTGCTACTGGTGGGTTTATCATGCAATCATATCACCACTTTGTCGCGTTCTGGTGGGTTTACCAATAATGCATGTGTTTCTTTACCGTGAAAGCTCAGGACAGGATGCCAGCCAGCTTCAGGGCCCACTACTACACTACCCAATGTAGTTGGTGGCTACAGCACGTTTCTGTTATTTTCAGATTCAATAACATTAGTGATTAATTAAGAATAATCAGCGCACTCAGTCAACAAGGTGGAAACCTATTCACCAAAAAAAAAAAAAACAAGGTGGAAACCTTGTTATTTATTATATTAACGGCGACGAGTACCGAAAACAGGGAGGTGAATGAAAACAAAACACACGAAGGTTTTCCTCCATCTGCTTCCATGGCGCAATCGACAGTCAAGGTTGTGGAGCTCAGCAAGGTGACGCCGGAACCGGCGCCGTCCAATCCTTTCACCCTCCCACTCACCTTCTTCGACACCTTCTGGATCAAACTGCCGCCAGTGGAGCGCATCTTCCTCTACCACCTCCCAGATTTATCCCCTTCCACTTTCCGCTCGCGCCTCCTCCCTCACCTCACCCGCTCCCTCTCCTTCACACTCCGCCACTACCTCCCCGTCGCCGGGAACCTCGTTTGGCCCTCCGCAGCCGCCGTCCCCGTCGTCCTCTACAGCCCCGGCGACGGAGTCTCCCTCGCGGTCGCCGAGTCAACGGACGACTTCGACCACATATCCGCCGACGGAGATCGAGAAGCCTCGGAATCGCTGCCCTACGTGCCGGAGCTGCAAGCATCGGATTCCGCCGCCGCGATTCTCTCCCTGCAGATCACTCTGTTCCCCAATCGAGGCTTCTGCATCGGCGTCACCTCTCAGCACGGCATTCTCGATGGCAAGACGCAGTCCGTCTTCATGAAAGCCTGGGCTCACACCTGCAGGCAGATCGTCGGGGATGGTGGCGCCGATTTCCCACCGCCGCTACCGGAATCGCTGGCTCCGGTCTTCGATCGAACAGGCATCGTCGACTCGCGGGAAATTGCGGTGGAGTATTTGGACGATTGGTTCCGATTCCGGCTCAATCTGCCGGGGATGGATCCCAATCCAAACCCTAGAAGCTTGGAGCTGCTATGGAGCTTGGTAGATGGCGATTCCAAAAGACTGCGAGCGACCTTCGATTTCTCGAAAGAGAGAATCAAGAAGCTGAAGGAGTCTCTGATCCCCAAATTCCCATACCCTAATTACCTATCGAGCTTCGTCCTGACCCTGGCGCACACCCAGGTTTGCCTCGTGAAGGCGAAAGGCATCCGTGGCGGCGCGACGATGATGGGCGGGTTCACGGCGGATTTCAGATCTCGATTGGAACCCCCGGCGCCGGGGAATTTCTTCGGCAATATCGTTTTCCCGTACGAGGTGGCTCTGAGAGGGGAGGAAGCTGGTTCCGAGGGCGGCGTCGCGTACGCGGCGGGGAAGATCGTGGAGGCGATCAAGGAGGTGGAGAAAGGACCGATGGCGGGGGCGAGAGGGAGGCTGGCCAGGTTTCTGTTTCCGGAAGCGGGTCAGTTCGAGGTGATCGGGGTGGCCGGGTCGCCGCGGCTGGGGATGTATGGGGTTGATTTCGGGTACGGCGGGCGGCCGAGGAAAGTGGAGGTCACGTCCACTGCGAGGACGGGAGCTATTTCAATGGCGGAGAGCAAAGATGGGAGCGGCGGTGTCGAGGTTGGAATTGTGCTAAGCAAGGAGGAGATGGACGTATTTCGCGCTGCTTTCGTTCAGTAATGGGCTAGGAGTTAGGATAGCTATTGGGCCCTTTGTTATTTTTTGGGCTGGTTTGAGTTGTACTTCTTTCTTTATGCGGGCCTTTTCCACTAACTCTTATATTTTGTTATATGCTTTGTCGTCCTATTTTTTTATTAATTATCGTTCTATATTATTATAAAAAACTTAAATATTCATAATGAAGATTATATTCGTGAGCCAGTGAACTGTGCAAGTGCAAGAAGAGGAGGGAATCTTTTTCTTTTCTTTTTTTCTTTCTGCGGTCTCATGCAAACAAAATGAAAGAATCCGCCCTCAATTGGCGATTTCGAACTCTACCTAAATAGTAAATAACACCATATTTCCAAGTCTTCGACCAGATCATATGTCTCTCTGTCCCATTTAATATTGGGGTGCGGTTTCTTCCGCAAGCTTTCACTTTTCAGTTTTTTGCGTTTCCAACTATAAATTTTAGAGGTGTCTATGGCTGGTGTGGGCGGGTTTGGATTGGTTCAACCGGGTGATGGGTTAGTTAGGTTTTCGGTTTATTGGATTGCGGGTTAGTTAGGTTTTGGGTTCATCTAGTTGTGGGTCATTTGGGTTACTTTTTGACAGCGGCGGACCTACTTGATGGGAAGGGGTGTCGGACCCGAAAATTTTGTGAAATATCTATATTTTTTTGGTACAAAAAATTTTAATACGAGATTTCCGACACCGCTTTTATAATTATAGGCGATACTCATTCATTAGACGAACACCCCTGTTCAACAATCCCGGGTCCGCCACTGCTTGTTGAGCTACAAATTCATCAGGATGAGGGTCGGGCGAGTTGAAAGCGGATAGGGTTGCAGATTATTCTGGTCAACACATAGTGTTACTTACTCTTTACTTTTTACAAATTACAATTATTTATTACACTAATTTCAAACATCTTTGCGCAATTTTTAGACAATTTATTTGTACTTCATATATGTACTTTTAAAAGGTTTTTTTGGTAGAATTACTTATAAAGTTGAAAAACTTATTAAATTGCTACATTAATTTATGTTATTTTTAGATAATTGAGTTATAAACTTATAATAATCGTATGACTTAATAGACCAAGGTTAACCCTCATTTTGAGACCACAATGCAACTCGAGCACAACTTAAATGTGCAAAATCTTTACATTAGTGTTGTTAAATAATTATCACATAGTGCAGAAGCTTAAACCAATATAGAAGCATAGAAAACAAGTAGACCAATTAAGTGAATTTTTCTAAAATAAATGATTGTTGAAGCTAATTGTTAATTTAGTTATTTAACCATAAACCGGTACGTATATATTAACCTTCAAATTACATAACTTCATACCCTAAAGTAGCAAATTAGTTCAGGTAGATAGATAAGTATTTTATTTATCATAAGTTGTTAAATTAGTTCATACAATTGGTACTAGGTTATGACTTTTGTGTACTATAATAGAAGCAATTGATTTATTAGGATAAGATGATTAATGATAGATTTTCTTATAGACACTATGTTAGTTACTAAATGCAAACTTTTAGCTTATGAGCACTTCTACTATGCTATATAGCATTGGTGCTTTAATGTACAACTCAAAGTTGTACCATAATATCAAATGTATAAGTTTAGGTTGTACCATAAAAGAATTTGTACAAAAAGTATAGGTACAATCTGAAGTTGTACCATAACGTAAATGTACAATTTTAAGTTGTATCATAAAGGCAAAAACCTATAGCACCAATACTATATAGCATTGTAAAATTTCTCTTAACTTATAAACTATAAAATTATGATAATTACAAATCTACTATATCCAATTAGTCATGCCAAATCTACTATGATATGTTCCAGTGATATTATTAAGATAGAATAACCTATGATATGTTCCCAAATCATGCCACATCTACTATGATATGTTCCAGTGACAGTATTAAGATGATTAAGATAGAATCTACTATATCAAATAACTTGCAAACTTTTGAGACAGTTCGAGTGACATTATTAATATAGAATAACTTATGATATGTTTCCAAATCTACGACAATATAACCTCTATAAATTAATATAGTCGGGACCGTGAAAATTATTCATTTATAGTATTTATTAATTAATTGATAAATTAATAGTTACTAATTAGTTGTAATTTAATAATTATTAATTATACAATGTAATTTCTTTCTATGTAGCACGAGAGGGGATTTGGTGACTAGGGGGGGTGCTTAGTCACTTGACTAAGCCCTTCCCGGCCCTTAGATCAGGACACATCAATCTGATGGTTAAAAAATGGGAAGGCCTATTTAATTAATGACAGGGGTAGTTTGGGTATTATGGAAAATTACGAAGTATACAAACCGGAATTACAATCAGTACAAACCATACAAACAGTACAAACTAGAGCGACAAAACATACAAACATATTTACAAACATATGAACTGTACAAAAAATACAAACTAGACCGACAAAGAATACAAACCATACAAAAATAAAAAAAAACAACCAGGTTGACTTTGGTGGCTCCATCCCTATATAGAGGAGCTCCTTCCCAAAGTCAACCCGGGTGTTTTTAAGACATACAAACATGGTGGACAAAAATGACAAACTAGACCAAAAATTCATACAAACTGGAAAACACCCGGGTTGACTTTGGAGGCTTCATCCCTACATAGAGGGCTCCGTCTCAAAGTTAACCCGGTTGTTTTTTAGACATACAAACATTACAAACATGGTGGACAAAAATAACAAACTAGACCGACAATCCATACAAACTGGAAAAAAAACTCCCGGGTTGACTTTGGAGGCTCCATCCCTATATAGAGGAGTTTCATCCAAAAGTCAACCAGGTTGTTTTTTAGACATAAAAACATTACAAACATGGTTGACAAAAATGACAAACATGGTGCACAAAAATAACAAAGTTTACAAACATTACAAAAAAAAAAAACGACAAACATTACAAAATAACAAAGCGTACAAACATTACAAAATAAACCGACAAACAGTACAAAGGATACTAATCGTATAAAATGTCACTAAAAATGACAAACAATACAAACGAATCTATACAAACATTACAAAATAGGTCAGTAAACATCACAAATCCAACACTGTCGCCGAGAAATTTCCTCCGGTCACCGGAAAACTCTCTCTCTGCCACACCAAAAATGGTGGCCTGAGACTAAAAAATGGTGCCCATGGGGCAAAATAAAAAAGCCGCCGGCGGGAGTTTTCCCAAAAACGGACCGCCGGCGGGAGGAGCAGGGGCGGGTGATTTTTATTTTTTTAATTATTAAATATATAAATTATGTAATTACCACCTTATCCTTCATTAAAATAGATTAATTTGAGCCATTAAATTTTAATAAAGCTCGATGGCCGCTGAGATTCACTTAGCCCCAACCTATTGCTAGTTTCTTTCTTTTGTGTGAAAAGTGAAAACTCATAATTATCTCTTGTAATAAATTTATAAACAATTATGCGTGTGGGAATAGGATAGTTTGCTTTGTGCTATGGAAATGGATAGATACTTTCTTTTCCCTTAATTGAATATGCGTGGAGAGGAATTTGATGCTTTCCTTGAAGTCTACTGATCTCTTGTTAAGTTATAAACAAAGAAACATATGTGTCTGGGAATGGTTTGCTTAGTACTTTGAAAATATATTGATACTTTCTTTTTCCTTGCTTGTGGTGGAATTTGATGCTTTCTTGAAATAAAAGCAACGGATACACTTACAATATATAATTTCTCTAGCTACCATTGTCGCTCGTATCATGCTCGAGAGAACAGCAGGCGCATTTCTCCTGTAAGATTGGAGCAACACATGTTTCCATTGTGAATTGCAGTTTTCAACGTTTCCTTCAGGTACAAGGTCTTGTGGGATAATCCATATTGCAAGTAGGGCTGTCAATTTGGTTTTGGTTTTTCTGTTTTAATCGAAACCAAACCATTAAAGGTTAACGGTTTTTTCGGTTTTAAACCATTTAACATATTAATGGTTTTGGTTTCGGTTAAAACCAATAATCCGATAAGGACCTCTGTTTTCTTGAAGGACCTCTGATATCTTTAAAATCAACCATGTTCTTGGTTTTTGGTTTATCGAAACCATTAAGGAGCTTATCGGTTTATGGTTATCCATGTTGAATTCTTGAAGAGTGTTAGCTTGCCTTTTACCACTGAAATATCCTCTTCTTGCTCTGGAACAGTTGAGAAATCAAAGGAACTATTTTATTCAGAAGAAAAGGATTACACAGGATAGACTACAAACACTTTCTGTGTCATGCCAACGAAGTTGGCACTTTGCGATCTTACAAACAACACTCTTCCCAACCCTAATTCACCCAGAATAATCACTGTGAATCAAAGAACTGAAGAGATGAAAATTGACCCAAAGTAGACCTAGAATGCTCTCTATTCTCTCGCTACTTCCCGTGCATCACACAACTAAAGATGAGTCTATTTATACTGGAATAGGGAGATGACCGTTTGCTGGAGAAATGAGTCCGTTGCAGGAGTCGGTGATGTCTGTGTATGATCACCGACGAACCGCCTATAGCTCTGCTGCTGATCTCTCTAGGTGGGAGGCTAGGTTTGAGAAGAACTATGGATTTGCCCAGAGAAGACTTTGAAGGACGATATTTGAGTGAGATGCCGCAGATACAAAACGTCGCCGTGTGTCGATAGGCCACCCAAAACGTCACCGCCTGACTTCAAGTAAAACGGCGCCGTGTCCATTGATTGAGGATGACGGCATCTTTCATCAATTTCCCCCTTCGTCCAAGAAGTCTGGTCTTAACCTGAAAAGCAAGCAACAAACAAACAAAGAGCAGCCAGCAGCGTAGTTCTAGCAAAGAAAGCATTTATCTGAAGCTACTGATATATTACTTTTGAAAAAAGGGGGAATTACAAAATATAAGCATCAGATAATAAAGGAACCAACTCCTTTAACAAAAATTCCCCCTGAACATCTACGACTAAGCCAAACCTACTGGAAAACTACCTAAAGAGAGCTAGAAGAGAAAGGGAAGACTAAATCTAATAAAGAGTTCCCCCTAGAAGCTAGAAGGGGATTAAGAGACAAGAGGAGAAGGTTCTTATGGGACTGAAGCAGCTGAATCGTCTGAGGAGGAACTTCCATCAGAAACAGTAAACACCAGATTTGCATTCTTGCTGGATTCACCAGCAGTAGACTTTCCTTTACTGGAAGCAGTTTTTGGGACAGGACCAAGCAAGGATCCAGATGGGCGAGGTGGTGGTGAAGGTGAGACGTCGGAAGGTAAATCCAGGATCATTAACACGTTAAGAGCTCCAACGTACATTGTGTGGGATACACTCCTGAAGTCTGACAGATCAATTCCCAGGTTGACCAGCAGTCTAGTGATGATGGATCCGAAAGGCAGCAATCCTTGGTAATGCTCATCTCCAGCTGGAAGGAGGTTTGCAAACATGAGGCTAGAGTAATCCAACTTGCGCCCAGCTGTGGCACTCGCAATGATCCAGAGATCCAGAGGCAGAACAACATCGAGATTGTATGTTCTAGGAAAAAACACGTGGGTGATGAAGTGATGGAAAATTCTGAGGCGTGGGGATAGCCAGCCAATAGGAATGGGCACATCAGTTCCTTCTGTAGGCTCAGTTGAAAAGTTGGCATACTCGGTAGGAAGGATGAAATCTTGCTTCCAGAATTCTGAGGGATGAGCAATATCAAGCCCTTGAACTGGAAACCCGAGGATTCCATTTAGAGCACCTACTGGAATGGTCAGAAGGTGTCCATAGACGACTGTTGAGAAGCTCCTGGTACTGATTCCTTGACATCTAAGGTTTGAATAGAAATACTTGACTGCACCAGGACAAGCCGGATGAAGTGGCTGTCGAAGGAGATAGTCCCACCCCAGAGCCTCTATGAGCGACATGATGTCGTACTTGTAGAGATTGAACTCATAGGGGTCGAGCTGGATGTTATGGTGCAGCCTTCGATTCTCAAAGTGCTGGAGGTGACGATGATGGTTTATCACGACAGGCTCATGGAACATGTACCCTGGATAGGTGTGCACTAGGCCTTCGAACCGAAAGGGTCGGGGCAGATGATCACTCATTTTCTTGGTGGAGATGGGTTTTGTTTTGTTTTTTTTTTTTTTACAGAGAAATTGTGGATGGTTTTTCGGGTTATGACTGTTTGAGCAGGGTGAGGAGAGAAAGACTTGGGGGAGAGGTTTAAATAGAGAAGGAAAGTAGAGGGAAGGGGAATACGAAGAGTTTTATTTTCCTTTACTGAAGCGTAATGATTAGAATGAAAATACAATTTTACACGCATGATCTAGAGGGCAATCTCATTGTTGTAAACCAAGGTAAACACAGCCAATAGGTTTTTTAGCTTTTAGAAACGAAATTTAGCTAAAAGTTTAATCCTAATACTCATCTACCTAGAACACAGCATACCCAATGGTTCTTTTAGCTTTTTCAAACTAGATTTGGCTAAAAGATCTCAATCCTAATTCGGTGCAGAGATGTGCAAAACGTTCATTTGATAGAGGCTTTGTAAATAGGTCGGCTAGTTGGTGTTCAGTGGGTATAAATTGTAGGCTTACATGTCCTGCTTGCACTAGATCTCTTATGTAGTGAAATTTTATTTCTATGTGCTTAGTCCTAGAGTGTTGTACAGGATTTTTTGTCATGCATATAGCACTCGTATTGTCATACCAGATAGGGATATTTTCATTTTGAAACCCATAGTCAGACAATTGTGTCTTCATCCACATAATCTGAGTGCAGCAACTTCCAGCTGCAAGGTATTCAGCCTCAGCAGTGGATAATGCAACTGCTCCTTGCTTCTTGCTAAACCAAGATACAAGAGCAGGTCCTAGAAATTGTACACTTCCAGATGTACTCTTTCTATCAACTAAGCTACCCCCAAAGTCTGAGTCACTATAGCCTGAGAGTTCAAAAGAATTAGAGAAAGGGTACCACAGTCCTAGTTCAGTAATTCCCTTGAGGTATCTAAATATTCGTTTAACTGCCTTTAAATGACTTTCTTTAGGATCTGATTGAAATCTGGCACACACTCCAACACTGAACTGTATATCAGGTCTGCTTGCTGTTAAATAGAGGAGAGATCCTATCATTCCTCTATATTTCTTTTCACAAACAGAAATTCCAGATTTATCTTTGTCTAATTTTAAGTTTGTTGCCATTGGTGTAGAACATGTATTGACTGTGCTCATATTAAACTTTTTGAGCATAGATTCAGTATAACTTGTTTGGCTTATAAACATTCCTGATTTAGTTTGTTTAATTTGTAGACCCAAGAAATGAGATAGTTCTCCCATCATACTCATTTCAAACTTGGATTTCATTAATTCACAGAAGCTTGTGCACATATTTGGGTTTGTTGATCCAAAAATAATGTCATCAACATATATTTGCACTACTAATGTGTCCTCATTTTCCCTTTTGATAAATAATGTTTTGTCCACGTTTCCTTGAGAAAAGCCTTTAGTTATGAGGAAGGAGGTTAATTTTTCGTACCAAGCCCTAGGTGCCTGTCTTAGTCCATACAAAGCTTTTGATAATTTGAAAACATGATCAGGAAATTCATGATCTTCAAACCCAGGGGGTTGACTCACATATACTTCCTCTTTAATTTCCCCATTTAGAAAAGCGCTTTTTACATCCATTTGATATAATGGGATTTTCATATAGCAAGCATAGGCACACAACATTCTTATAGATTCAATTCTAGCAACTGGAGCAAATGAATCTTCAAAATCTATTCCTTCCTCTTGTAAATATCCTTGTGCAACAAGTCTAGCCTTATTCTTTGTTACTTCACCAAGTTCATTTGTTTTGTTTCTAAATACCCATTTTGTTCCTATTATCAGTTTGTTAAATGGTCTAGGTACTAATTCCCATACATGTAGCCTAGTAAATTGCACAAGTTCTTCTTGCATAGCATGCAACCATTCATCAACAGTCAGTGCTTCCTTATAATTTTTAGGTTCTAGTAAAGAGACAAATGCATACTGACCTGGGCAGTACTTACCTCTGGTGTGTATCCCTTCATGTAGATCCCCAATGATCTGAGATGTTGGATATCGTTTTTGTATATGGGCAGGTGGCATTTTCTCTTTAGGTAGGAGATTCTGCTCTTCTGCGGTATCTTCATGCTTTTCCAAACTGGTTTCACAATCTTCTGACTTCTTTTCTTTTGTAACTGGTAGTGGAATCATAAATTCTATGTCTTCTGCATTCACTTTCTCAGAGGATGCAGATTCATCAAATTTTACAAAAACCGACTCTTCTACTTTTCTTGTCCTTAGGTTGTAAACCCTATAGGCTTGTCCCTTAATTGAATATCCTAAGAAGATTGCCTGTTCTGCTTTGGCATCAAATTTATATAGGTAATCTCTAGTATTCAAGACATAACATTTGCATCCAAAAGGATGGAAATAGCTTAGATTAGGAGTCTTATGTTTTACTCGTTCGTAAGGAGTCTTCTCTAAGCCTTTTCTTATTAGAACTCGATTTATTACATAAACAGCTGTCATAACAGCTTCTCCCCACAGAAACCTAGGAGTTCCATATTCTAATAACATTGTTCTAGCCATTTCTATAATGGTCCTATTTTTTCTTTCTACAACACCATTTTGTTGAGGTGTTCTAGGTGCAGAAAAAGTGTGATTTATACCTTTGTCATTGCACAATGCACTAAACTGGTCTGAGATGAACTCACCCCCATTATCACTTCTTATTGACTTAATTCCAATTTCTGATTCATTTAGTACTTTTGACACAAATACCTTAAACATGGCAAATGCTTCATCTTTTGAAGCCAGTAAATAAACCCATGTAAAGCGTGAAAAGTCATCAACAAGAACTAAGGCATAAGACTTACCTCCTAGGCTCACCACGTTTGTTGGACCGAATAAATCCATGTGTATTAGCTCATAAACACGAGTGGTTGTAATATTATTTTTTAACTTAAAACTTTTCTTTGTTAGCTTGCCACTTGTACAAGCGTCACAGAAAAAGTCTGGCTTATCTTTTAAGTTAGGAATCCCACGTACTGTTTCTAGTTTTGATAACTTAGATAACTTTGACATGCATACATGCCCGAGTTTTCTATGCCAAAGCATTTCTATTTCATTTGATTTTGCGTGGAAGCATGTCTCATTAAATGTTTCTAGGTTGTTTAGATTTACTAAATACATATTATTTTTCTTTATACCACTGAACAGTAGCTTGTTGTCACAAATTCTAGATATTTGACATGATGATGCTTCGAAGATAACTCTGTTCTCAGATGAACAAAGTTGACTAATTGACAAGAGATTATGTTTTAGACCTTCAACAAGCAAAACATCCTTAATGACAGGAAGAGGACTTTTACCAATAGTTCCATTTCCTAGGATTCTACCAACCCTATCATCTCCAAAAACAACTTTGCCTCCCCTTTTTAGGCTTAAAGAAGAAAATAATTCTTTTCTACCTATCATGTGGTGGGAGCACCCACTGTCCAAATACCAAATGTTTTCTCTGTCTCCCAGTTTCTGCAATTAGTCATATATTAGTGCATTTTGGTACCCAAAATGTCTTATAAACAGTGTGTTTCTTTGGCTTATGTAAATCATAACAAAATTTTGCTATGTGTCATTTTCTATTACAGTGGGAACAAACATATACTTCTACATAGTTTTGTTTTTTATAGTGTTTTCTCTATTAAGCTTAGGAGCTTTAAAGTCTTTTCTAAGTGGAAGTATTGCACTCATAGTCTTTAGTTTATGCAGGCTACGTTTCAGCTCATGGTTCTTGTCAGTTAACTCAAAGATTTGCCTTTTAAGCTTAACTTCACTCTCATGCTGATATGATACAGCTCTTTTCAGATTGCTTAATTCCTTTTTCATAGCATGATTTTCAGTCATTAACAGACAGTATCTACTTCTGAGCCTGTTGCATTCTTCCTGAAGGTTCCTTAGATCATGCAAGAAATCATGCTTTGGTTCAAGGTTATTACTCTTTTCAGATTCTGAGTCTGAGATTACCTGGTATCCTGCAGGATGTACTTGATCATGGCTTGCTAGTGAGCTTGTATCATCGTTTTCCTCGGTAGCAAAGGCCATATAGGCCAGATTTCTTGTTTCAGCATCCTCCTCAGAGCTATAATCACTCCAGGAAGCTGCCATTGCCTTTTCTTGCTTCTTTAGATTCAGAGGACATCTCGACCTCATGTGACCTGTCTTTCCACACTTAAAGCAAATGGTTAAATCCTTCTCACTGGAAGACCTATGGTCTTCCTTGGTTTCCTGATTGTTCCTTTCGCGTTCTTCTGTAGGTTTATCCATTTTTCTGAATAGATTTTTCTCATTTGAATGACTTCCTCCTATATTTCTATCTGGGTATCTACCTGGTGGTTTTTCAAGTCCCTCTCTTCTTTTTCCTGAGTCATACATACGGATGTTGAATTGTCTCGTATTATATCTTCTGTCATCAAAATCCCTTTTTATCCTAAGCATTTTGTGAAATTTTCTGCTGATCATGGCAAACTCTCTTTCAAACTCTTCACCTATTTCATATTCTGACTCACTCTCATAGTCTTGAGCCTTAAATGCTATTACCTTCTTTCTTCTGCTATCTTCTCTATTCATCTGAACAATTACCTCCTCATGGCTTAGTAAGGATCCAACAAGTCTTTCAATTGACAGGACATTTAAATCCTTTGCTTCTTCTATGGCTGTACGCTTAGGTAACCATTCTCTAGGTAGACTACGTAAGATTTTTCTAACTAGGTCTTTTGTGGGAAAGGTTTTTCCTAGTCCTTTTAATCTGTTTATCAGGTCATTAAACCTCTTATACATACTTGTGATGGACTCCCCTGTGCACATTTCAAAAGATTCATACTCATTTAACAATACATCTATCCTACTTTCTTTTACTTCTGACGTACCTTCGTGGGTGGTTTCAAGAGATTCCCAGATCTCCTTGGCAGTCTCGCACTGAGCTACCTGGCTTCTTTCTTCTGGGCTCAGTGCAGAGAAGAGGATGTGCATTGCCCTTGAGTCTTGTTGAGAGGACAGTTTCTGATCATCTTCCCATTTTTCTTCTTCCTCCTCATCCATTGGAATTGGCCCGTTTTTGACAATAGCCCACAGTCCACCATCTACACCTCGTAGATAGATTCTCATTCTTTTCTTCCACACCGTGTAATCTGTGCCGTCGAACCATGGTGGGTTGGTGTTGGCTGAATAGGGTGCAGAAGCAGGTATGACTCCTGCCATGTCCTTGATCGTCTTTGGCGAATTTTAATCCTTCAAAGACCCCGCTCTGATACCAATTGTTGAATTCTTGAAGAGTGTTAGCTTGCCTTTTACCACTGAAATATCCTCTTCTTGCTCTGGAACAGTTGAGAAATCAAAGGAACTATTTTATTCAGAAGAAAAGGATTACACAGGATAGACTACAAACACTTTCTGTGTCATGCCAACGAAGTTGGCACTTTGCGATCTTACAAACAACACTCTTCCCAACCCTAATTCACCCAGAATAATCACTGTGAATCAAAGAACTGAAGAGATGAAAATTGACCCAAAGTAGACCTAGAATGCTCTCTATTCTCTCGCTACTTCCCGTGCATCACACAACTAAAGATGAGTCTATTTATACTGGAATTGGGAGATGACCGTTTGCTGGAGAAATGAGTCCGTTGCAGGAGTCGGTGATGTATGTGTATGATCACCGGCGAACCGCCTATAGCTCTGCTGCTGATCTCTCTAGGTGGGAGGCTAGGTTTGAGAAGAACTATGGAGTTGCCCAGAGAAGACTTTGAAGGACGATATTTGAGTGAGATGCCGCAGATACAAAACGTCGTCGTGTGTCGATAGGCCACTCAAAACGTCACCGCCTGACTTCAAGTAAAACGGCGCCGTGTCCATTGATTGAGGATGACGGCATCTTTCATCAATCCAAAAATCGATAAACCTATTAATGGTTTTGATTTTTGTGAATATGCCTTATTTGATTTTTGGTTTTCATGCTAATGGTTTTGGTTTTGGTTTTTTGGCTATCCAAATTGACAGCCCTAATCGCATTTCACTAAACTTAGGAAATGGTTTCACAGTTTGACTATTATTGTTACCCTTCCATCAGTAATGGATGTACGAGAAGCTTTGACGGCAGCAGTGACAGCTTTATTAATGCTCCCCGCATTGATTTTCCTCTGCAAGTGGCTATGTCGAAGGTGGCGGCGGTCCTCCAACACCCGGAACAACAGCCCCCAACTTCCAGAATCTACTGTGTCTTCTTCTGCTTACACTTCTGGTCCTGATGCTTCCTTGTTCTCACCAACCAGTAACTGCGAGGTCTTTTTGAGTTTTCGGGGACCAGACACCCGCCATGAGATCACCGACGTTCTATACCATTTTCTTCTCCGCTCAAAAATCCGCACATGCAAACATGACGAGGATCTTCATGAAGGGGAAGGAATATTCTGGCCAAGTTTGGTGGAGGTCTTGAAGGAATCCAAGGTTTATGTTCCGATTCTTTCGGACAATTACGCTCACAGCGAATGGTGCCTCAAAGAGCTTGCTGAAATGGTTGATCGTCGGCGGCAAGACAAGGGGCACATCATTTTACCCATTTTCTATAAAGTGGACCCTAGAGACGTGCGGAAACAAAGCGGGGCGTACGAAGAAGCGTTTAAGCGACACGCGAGAAATTTTGATGGGAAAACGTTACAAATTTGGAAAGACGCTCTCAAGGAGGTTGGAGAATTGAAAGGGTGGCACGTGACAGACAAGGAAGGGTACGAAAATGAAATTGCTTGTTCTTCTTTTCTTAATTAGTTGTGAAATGGTTATACCTTAGAACTTTGCGTAAGAAAACATGTTTGGGTTAGATTTGATCGGATTACGGGTTAGTCGGGTTTTGAGTTCATTAGGATGCTGGTTAGGAGCGCTCAGGTTCATCGAGTTGCGGGTTATTCGGGCTACGAGTTGATTGGGTTATGGGTCAGTCAGTTTGCGGGTTACCCGGGTTGTAGATCAATCGGGTTACAGGTCAAATGAGTTGCGCGAGCTGAGCGGGTTGTAGGTTGTTTGGGTCATCACAATTTTTTTACTTACTCTTTACTCGTTACAACTCATATTTTATTAATTAAACTAATTTCAAACATTTTTCACAATTTTAGACAATTTATTTCTTCCTCGTATATGTACTTATAATTTTTTTAAAATACTAATAATTTTTTTTTGTCAAAGTGCTAAATTAATGTTATATATATATATTTGGATGTATAAGTCATTTCAATAGTATAACTTAACATTCCAAGTTTAATCCTCATTTTGAAACCGAAATGCAAATTGAGTACACTTTAAATGAGCCAAATGTTTACTTCAATGTAGTAAAATAACGATTGTGAGTACAAAAGTTGCAAAAAAGCAATTATTATTGAAATTAATGGTTAATTTAGTTATTAAAGTCACAAAAATTATATAGATAAGTACCTTATTTATAAGAAGTTGATAAATTAGTTCATATAATAGGTGCTAAGTTACGTATACTATAATAGAAGCGATTGATTTATTATAATAAGATTCCTCATCATAAATTCTCAAAACTATTATAGCCAATTAACATTGAAGCGGAAATTTTTTATTATAAC